TACTTACATTTAGTATATTGGTAATTATTAGCAGGATTTTAGTAATGTTTAATTAAATTCATAAAAATAAGACGTTTAAATAAGAATATATTATGGCATTTCTAATATTTTTTAATCTTTGTGGAAATCGTGTCACCACTGTCAAGGTTACTTCATTTTTATTATTTTACGTAAGTCATCTATTGCAAAACTTTCGGTACATAAAAGGCTTGTTTATATAAAATTTCTAAGAAATTAAACAGCGTGTCATATTTCTGTTCGATTTTTTGTTATTATTACCTGTGTTTTATAAATAATAGACTATAATAGAACAAAGTTTTAAGAAATTAACCCATAAACCTAGACCAATCATTTTACTCGTAATATGAGAACTTTGTTTTTTCTGTAATGCCATTTAAAATTAAAAAAATAAGGACAAATAAAAAATAACACTTATTTCTATCGCGTTCTATTTTTCAATAAAGTTTTATAATTCATTGAAATATCCCAAATATTTAAGAAATGTTACATTTTATTAGAAAACTAGCGACTCACCCTCGTTTCCTTCGGGTTTGTCCCTAAGTTGATTCCTCATATAAACTTTCATCGCCGTTTTCACCCCGTCAAGGGATGATATCCAGGAAAAAAAGGGTCTCAAACTATCTTCTTACCAAATTTCATTTAAATCGGTCCAGTAGTTTCGGAGCCTATTCAGTACAAACAAACAAAAAATCAAATCTTTTCTCTTTATAATATAAATTAATAAGTAGAAGTAGAAAATTAAATTCATAAGTATAGATTACTGACGCTATATAATAATATTTATTATTTGTCAATTTGTCAGCCATTTTGAAATACATACAATTATCATTAGCTTCGATAAATTATCAACTTTAATTATTTATACAATTAGCGAAATATTTATATAATTACTAGCATTGCCCGCGGCTCCGCCCGCGTTCAGATGACCAAAAACTAAATTCTTAGGTGTTACATATTAGTATACTCTTACATTGCAGTTTTTGTATTTTTCCTCAGAAATAAGATATTTTCCCGCGGTAAAAAGTATCCTAGGATCGCGCGCTACATCGCCCGGTTTATATAGCTTGAGCAGGCGGTCGAGCGATGCGGGGCAGAGGGGATGGACTCGCCGTAGGCATCTCAATGCTCGCCAAGCATTAAAAATGTTTCGCTACTAATTACTTCTAACAACGATATCTCAAAAACTATTCATCTGATTGATTTAGTGTAAAGAGCAATTTTAATCTGCATTAAATGACTAAGCTAACTAAAATATTCATTTGGATAAGGATTAATACCGAACTAAAGAAAATAACTTTGAAAATAACGTAATGTTTTTAATTAAAAATGTTAACATAAAAGTGGTTATTGTAAGTCAACCGTAAGAGATAGAGATATGCTATCGCGGACTTTTTTGTAGCATTTTTATAGATTTTGAATTCTCTAGTACATTACTTAACTGTATCTTTGCTAGTTTACGCGGCGTTCGCGTGGAAAGTTCCCATTTGGCGAGATTTTTTGCGACCTCTTCAACATTTGTCGCCGTATTTCAGCTAATTTACATAAAAGCATAATAAATTATATACCTAAACCTTCCTCAAGAATTACTCTTTCTATTGTTGAAAACCGTATAAAAATCCGTTCAGTAGTTTTCGAGTTTATCGCGTACAGACAGACAGGAGGACAGACAGGAGGACAGACAGGAGGACAGAAAGACGCGGCCGGGGGACTTATTTTTATAATAAGTATAGATTATTATAATAATATATTACCAGGTATACATAAACGAACAGTATCAGACAGGCGCCGCCTACGTGTTGCTTACTCGCTGTTATCGGAAATGTGTAACTACTTTGCATTTTTGGCCGCCTGGTAATCTGAAAGTCATTGGAATGTTTAAAGTATGCAACTTGTATACATATATTTAATTATCTTATTTCACACAATTTATAGTAGTTAGTTCATTAGTAGATTGAAAACACGTTTGGCTCACATAATACTTTCTTAGATTTACGCATTTTTCATTTGTAAAAGTATATATTAATAGTGTTGCTTAGTAAGTTGTTTTTAAAATAATAGCAAACTAAATTAAAATTATTATCCTTAATTAATTTTAACTTTTTAAATTACATATAGAATAATTATATGGCTTAAATAATTATTACTATAATTTATATTTTTCTTTGTGGTTATAAATATAATAATGGCAACACTAAATATAGATTACTAATTAATATTTAAAAATTGTAATAATTATAAAAATAATAGCAAAAATTAAATAAATAATTTTCCATATTCAATTATAATTAAAATTATAAAAATGTTTAAAGTAAAAAAATATTGTAATGTAATTGGTGCAATTTTCATTTGTTAATTGAGGGTAGGCTGTCTGTAACAACTATACATTCAAGACATGTAACACCTCAGTCTCTCCCGTGACCATGGATGCTGTAAAGCATTCGAAACGTCGGGAACCAAAAATCAAAATAAATCCGCGAAATAATCCGAAAAGATAGTTTTATTTAATAACGTTTGTCTCAGTTTGAAGTGACTCTACTTGCTGTGACATTCATTTTTGTGATGAGCACGAATGTTTGTACTCGAGTCATGGGTGTTTATATTTAATATGTATGTATTTAAAGTTATATATGTGTAGTGTATCAACTATCTGGTAGCCATAGCACAAGCCTTGTAGCTTACCGTGGAACTAGATGGTGCTGTGTGTTAATGTCCTAACATATTTATTTACCTTCGAAATATTAAGTTATTTAATTAAAAAAATAACAACGTAAGTCTTACTATAATTATTATGTTATACCATAAGTATACTATGTATTTATAGTAGTATTATTATTTAGGTATTATATATAAAAGTTTGTATGTGTGTATGTTTATTTTTTCACGCTGAAACAGCTGAAAGGATTTGGATGTTTTACACACAGACTACAACTTAGAGTCGGTACCAGGAAAAGAGATACAAGCAGACCAACAGTCTCATAGTTGTCCACTATTGAGAAAGACCTGAAGAAACAAAATATGTTGTATTTTTTAATAAGCGATAGATGGCGTTGATCTGCAAACTGCCAAGTATTTTATTATAAATCGTATTTACTAAAATATGTAAAATATAGAAAAAAACATTTTTCATTTATTAAAGTTCTTTTCAGTGACTTACGCAAAAGTTTTTACCGTCTCACTCATTAGCTAATAGCTGATATTTCAATATTAATCAATAATATTACGTAAATTTAAATTAAATGCTATCATTTTATTTGGTTACCTTGAATATTTCTTAGAAACAGAAATCGATTTTATATTGATTTTACACAAAAATTAATATATATTAATATAATATTAATTAAACGTAAACTTTACGTTCACTAGACGATCGTTCATATTTATACTAAAACTAGCAGAACCCGCGGCTTCGCTCGCGCTAAAACTACAAAAAAATCTCTAAAAAGTAGTTTAGTTTAGTGTAGTCTAGGTAGTTTCGTACAAATGTTTTCGAAAACGAATTTCTAAAAATGCTAAAACACGTACTTATTTAATTTTATTGAAGAGCAATTATACCAAGTTTCAAGTAATTCTGATCACAATTATTTTTTTTCAAATGTATTATAATGTGTTTTCCCGTGGGAATTAGCTAATCTCCCGCGATAAAAAGTAGCCTATGTCACTCTCTGTTGGCATTTCCAACATGTACATTTTTATAATTGGCAACATTGTGAATATTTGTAATTATTATTTTTAAGTAACTGGCAATACTTCCTTCTTTCATTCTTATTATAAAACCTTTCCTGTATGGTGGCGGATAGTAAAAATAAAGTGTGTAAAGTTAGGTGCTCCGAGGTTACATTAACCAGCTCCTATAGACAAAACCGCTTACCCCCCGACATGGTCCAGCCCTCCAACTATCTCCACACAAAAAATCACGCCAATCCGTCACACCGTTTCGACGTGTAAGAAAGACAAACAAACACACTTTCACATTTATAATATTAGTAGTGCCTCGGTGGTGTAGTGGCTAGCATGTACGGCTGCACACCCGGAGGTCCTGGGTTCGAGTCCCGGGTCGGACCAAGTTTAGTTATTGAGTCTTTCTGTATAGTAAGTCTCAGAAACAGCCCGGAGTTGGGAAGTTGGCGGAGTTTCACCCCCGTGCCTCGGAGAGCACGTAAAGCCGTCGGTCCTGCGCCTTAACTCTCAACGGTCGTGTCGAGTGGTCGTCCCACCGGGGTATGAGAGTGATAGGAATAGAGAGTGCACCTGTGTCTGCGCGTACACTTGAGCACTATAATATCTCCTGCGCAGTTGGCTAATCTCAATGAGATTGGCCGCCGTAGCCGAAATCGGCTAGGAGAACATCATCATCATCATGGACTATAAATGCGAAAGTTGGAGAGCCTGTATGGATGTCTGGATTTTTGTTACTCTTTCACGCAAAAACTACTGAATGGATTTTAATGAAACCTTACTATAATGTAGCTCATATATCAGAATAACACATAGCCAACTTTTTATCCCGGAAAAATGAACGATATGGGATAGATTTGTTTTTGTTTATCGTACCGAACCCTAGTGAAACGAGGGCGAGCCGCTAATAATATAAACAACAGTCAATAAAATACTACTATAATACCTACTCTATTGTCACAAGTAATTTAAAATAGTAAAGTATCCCCAATGTGATATTTTACAGTATAACCTTCATACACACAGCGATGTTAACAAAAATTATAATTTTTGACTTTTACTAATTGATGAAGAGATTCGTTTACTAAACCTATCATCACACGAACGAGTATGTTACTAAATTGCAATATTTCAAATTATTAAGCTAATAAATAGCAAGACTAAACTGAATTTGTAGAACTGTTAACATATTTAAGAATGTCAGTTTAAGAAACACACTGACTGTAAAATAATAAACTTATTTTATTATCATGTATTTTATTTGTTACTAAAAATATTTAACATTCAAGATCTGTGAAGTTCTAATAAAGATATCCAGCATTGCACCCACAGCCGCAGCTGCCAGTAATGCACACAGTGCCAGCGGCTGGCAGGTCTCCAGCGAAACGCACAGCTCCAAGGATGGGCACCTGTCCAGCAACCAGCGTGGTGCCAGCGACTGGCATTTCACCCACGACAACAACATCTCCGATACCAGCGCCTCCATATGCTCCTGCAACTTCAATGGCTGCAGGTGACACACCATAGGGTCCAGGTGCTCCAAGTTCAATAGCGGCAGTTGAGAGTCCAAAGGGAGAAGCTGCCAGACCAGCTCCTAAGTCGTAGGGACCAGCTAAACCAGCTGCAGCGGCTGGTGAGATGCCGGCGTAGTTCAAGCCATAATTACCACCAAGTGGTCCAGATGCTCCAAGACATGAGCCGTATATATTCTGAAACATTACCATTAGTATCATGACTAGTTGTTTTAATTTGTTTTAATATTATTTAACTTGCATTAAATTTGAGATAAGTTTAACTTAATGAACCTCTTACGATGCGGAAAAGTGTTGATATATCAAATTGCATTCTGCAATGCAAGTGATATTAACATGATGATAAAGCCATCCGTAACGACAAGAAACAACTGAAAGCTATAAACGCATTTTGAGACACGGGGATGTCAAATATCTAAAAAATTCTTATTAAAAAATGTTAAAATCAATAACTCATTTATTCTAACACTCAATGCGAATAACTCGCATCGTCTTGATCCCTATAGATCCGAGAAGATTTTCATAAAAAAGCAATGTTTTATAGCTTTACTATATTTACCTGAATCAAGTACATTTGAATGCACAAAAAGACGAAAGTGAAGGAAGACATGTTTGAACTTGGTGAAGTCTATTGATAACAATGTTCTGACCCAAAAAAGTCTCTAATTTATATCACATTGTTCAACATTACTTGTGTAATATTCATTATACTGACATAATAATAAACTGAGAAACAATTGACCTAACTTTGTTACAAGCCTACTTGCGTAAACATAAACTTACATAATATGTTCACGTATGATCCAAATCTTGACACTTAGTGATAAGGCAAATATTTTTACTCAATACTTTAATATAAAACTGTATCTAAGTTAGGATATCGTTACAAATTCGTAGACCTTTCGAATATCAATTACTAAGATGGTGGCAAAAGCTGTCCTTCTGTTCTGTGCTCATGCACTCTTAGTTAAGGTATATAATTGAACTCAATTGGTTAAAAAATACATTTATATTTTGATCTTTGAGGAAAAGGCAACATTTAGTAAATTTTGTTTATTGTTATTTTGCAGTGTATCTCTAGTCAATACATTGGTGGTGCATGCAACCCTGCAGCTAATGCCTTGGCTTATGAGGCAGCGTGTAATGCTGGACCGTATGCATTCTATGGTCCCATGGCTGCCTCTCCTTATGTGGGCGCTGAATGTGCAGTCGGCTACTCACCTGCTTCTCTCGCCGCTTCTAACGGAGGTGGTCTGGCTATCACCAGTGCTTCGCCAATCGCACCCACTGGTGTCTCGATGACATCTGATAATATATACGAAGGTCCTTTGGCTCTGTCTGGTACCATTCCGTTCTTAGGAGCCGTAGCATTAGAAGGGGCCCTACCCACAGCTGGCGCAGGCGCCGTCACATACGGATGTGGGAATGGTAATGTCGCTATGCTGAGTGAAGACATCGTGCCTGCTGGGTATGATACACTTGCCGGTGCGTACGGCTACGGGCCGGGCATAGCGGCTGAGTTAGGCTACGGATACGGCTCTCCTCTAGCTTATGAAGCCGGTATCGCAGGACTTGGGTATGGTCCCTACAGCTATAGAAGCTGTGGTTGTTGAGCATTTTAGAAGGAAATTTAATAAATATTTTAAACACCTGCAGGTAAATTTCTAAGAAATTAATTAAAATTCTAATAAATTTATTGTTAACTGACACGCCGGCGTGTCCGCGGTCGTGGAGGGATTAATCTAAAATGCTATTTTAGAAATATTTCAGTGAATACATATGATATTAAAGAACCTGTATTTAATTTTCATCCTATGAGTTAAAAAAACTGCCTTTTTAATATATTTGTTATGTAAGACTCTAAATCTTTGGTTTGATTTACTTTATACGTTTCTGGAGCTGACATAAATCTCCGTGTTTGTTGAAAGTAAAAAAGGCTGTTGCGGATTGATTATTCTTTAAATTGATGGTCAATGCATATTCCACCGATAAAAGAACGAACAAAAAAATTTTATTCGGCCGACTATTATCTGTCTCTTCGTCTTTCGTCTACTCTGTCTGTTCTATACAATAATTAAATCACTCAGGACTTACTTCACGTATCGGGATCGATCAGATATAGTTTACTTTCACTTATGTGAGAAATTAAAAATATAAAAAACAAACATTCTAAGTTTTTTCCAAACTTCTGTGTAATTACGATAAACGGACAGACAGACGGACTGACGGACGAACGAACGGACGGACGGACGGACGGACGAACGGACGGATAGTCGGACGGACAGACAGACAGACAAAAATTCTAAAAACTATAGATTTGGCCTCTGTATCGAAAATAATGTCTATTTTAATAAGATTTTCCAAACAATATTTAATGTACAGATTCGGCTTAGTTAGAATTTTATTATATGTATAGATTTAAAAATTTCATCCCTTATCTTAAAGAAAAAACTTTTTACTAGTAAAGCAAGTTTTAGAAGAGTGAGACATGTTGACCTTACAATATAAAAACAGTAACTTGCGTATAGCATAAAGAAGATGTACGTAATTAGCCGATTATAAGATAACTTGTATGTAAAGGCTAGCCAAGTCAAATATTGAACTTCAATTTATCCTAAGTTATCTACTCTGTGTTAATAATTTGACTTAACAAATTTAAGAAGTTCTATTTTTTAATAGCAAACACTTTTGTAGCAGAAAAAAAACAAGAAATGGTGTTTTAAATTTATGTTAGAATGTTGTATATTCTTTTAAAAAAAATCAGGATTATCTACAGAACTTGGCACCCATTTAGATATCAGTTCTTTTGTCGGTGAAATTGACAAACACGCATATTCTTAATATTGAACTTGACTCCCACTTTTCCATTTATGTTTTTGATGGAATATCATGACTTTTTGTGAAGAAACTATTATTATTCATAATTGCAAAATCACATGTAAATTTAATTTTTTTTTCATAATTTTGCGACTATTCGTTAGTGGATAAAGCGGAATAGTAAATTAATGTTATTTAATCATCATGGAACCTTTTCTCTTAAGAAAGATTTTTTTTTGCTATTACTATGATGGCTATTGCTATTATATTTTGAAAGCCGCAAGGTGTTAATATATATATATATATATATTAGGGTAAGCAAGGGTGTATATATATATATATATATTTATATTAATTTTAAAAATGTACTATTTTCGGATTTTTTCCTTTGTATGCACACCAGTACCCACCTGGACACCAAATTTCAACTTTCTAGGTCATCTGAAAGTGGGTTAAGTTTTACTACTATATGTCAGTGACAATATGTCAGTGATACAATATGTCAGTGATAAAAATACTGATTTTTAGACGCTAATATCTCAATAACCGTTCGAGCTGCATTTATGAAATTGGGTATTCTAGTTACCCTAAGGGGATTTAATAAATGAACCAAATTTCATTAGTTTATGTTTAATAGATTTTGAGTTATTACGAGGTGAAAAGTGGCTCCAAATGGTTCGTGTAAAATATATACAACCGGTGCTGCGTCGCCAGTTCTTTTGGTTTGAACTTGGCTGGACTCGCTACCGCGTGTCTCGATAAAATTGATGCATCCAAATCGATCCTTCCGTTCAATAGTTAAGAGGGATCATAAAATTGGACATACATACGTTGGGAATTTCTAGCATTGTAAATAAAACTATCTTTTTGTTTTTTTCGCGAAACTAAAACTCAAAATAAATTCGCGAAAAAATCCGAAAAGGTAATTTTATTTAAAATTCTACTTTTTTTTCGCGGTGAATCATTTTAAGTACGGTACAGCTCGATGCAAGCTTAATGGCGGCTCGGACATTAGCTGCGAGCACAGGTAAGTGCAACGCCTCGTCAATAAGTTTGAATCGTACTGTAACCGCCACCTGGTAGGTATTAAACTCGCTAACCGTCAGCCTTTTTAAAGCTTGAATTAAGCTTCATACAAAAAAATTGGACAGCTTTATTTCGGATTCTACTTCAGGCTATTGTGTTTTCTTAAATAAACTTATTAACTAATGATTTTTTTTTAATAATCAGTAAAATTATGTAAATTTGACATAGGCGATAAAATAAATGTAACATGTTATATTATATCACAAGTTGATAATTTTTTGAAAGAAATGCAATGAAACCATATTTCAATTTCTTTAGAAAGGGCAATGTAACATTTTAAAGGATCTACGAATACACAAAAGCTATACGATGTTAACCAATAATACGATTTTTAAGTTGTACTAATTAATGAAAAGTTCTACCAACTTGACCTATCATCACATTTTCTTATTGATACCAAACTGCGACATTTTGTAATTTATACAATTATTAAAAAGTAGGTTTAGCCTGAATTTCTAGATCTATTTTACAACACCTATAAATAGCTTACAGAAAAAGCTCATTGCAAAATAATCATCAGTAAATTTTTGTTTCATGTCTTTTATTTGTTACTAAAACCGTAACTAAAATCACGTAAATAAAATATTTAACATTGAACATATTTAAATCTGCGAGGATTTCTAATAAAGATACCCAGCATTGCACCCACAGCCGCAGCTGCCAGTAATGCACACAGTGCCAGCGGCTGGCAGGTCTCCAGCGAAACGCACAGCTCCGAGGATGGGCACCTGTCCAGCAACCAGCGTGGTGCCAGCGACCGGCATTTCACCCACGACAACAACATCTCCGATACCAGCGCCTCCATATGCTCCTGCAACGTCAATGGCTGCCGGTGACAGACCATAGGGTCCAGGTGCTCCAAGTTCAATAGCGGCAGTTGAAAGTCCAAAGGGAGAAGCTGCCAGACCGGATCCTAAGCCGTAGGGGCCAGCTAAGCCAGCTGCAGCGGCTGGAGATATGCCGGCGTAGTTCAAGCCATAATTGCCACCAAATGGTCCAAATTCTCCAAGACATGAGCCGTATGTATTCTGAAACATTACCATTAGTATCATGACTAGTTGTTTAAATTTGTTTTAATAATATTTAAATCGGATTAACTTCGAGATAGATTTAAGTGACTGACTTAATGAACCTCTTACGATACCGAAAAAGTGTTGATATATCAAAGTGCATTCTCAAATGCACGTGAAATTAATATAATAATAAAGCCATTTGTAACGACAAGGAAGAGATTAGAGAAACAACAGAAAGCCATAAACGATATTTGAGACATAGGGATTTGTTCTGACACTCAATACGAATAACTCGCATCGTCTTGATCCCTATAGATCAGAGAAGATTTTTATAAAAAAGCAATGTTTTATAGCTTTACTATATTTACCTGAATCAAGTACATTTGAATGCACAAAAAGACGAAAGTGAAGGGAGACATGTTTGAACTTGGTGAAGTCTATTGATACCAATGTTCTGACCTAAAAAAGTCTCTAATTTATATCACATTGTTCCACATTACTTGTGTAATATTCATTATACTGACATAATAATAAATTAAGAAACAAGTGACCTAACTTTGTTACAAGCCTAATTGCATAAACATAAACTTACATAATATTTTCACGTATGATCCAATTCTTGACACTTAGTGATAAGGCAAATATTTTTACTCAATATTTTAATATAAAAGTGTATGTAAGCTAGGATATCATTACAAATTCGTAGACCTTTCGAATATCAATTACTAAGATGGTGGCAAAAGCTGTCCTTCTGTTCTGTGCTCATGCACTCTTAGTTAAGGTAAATAATTTAACTCAATTATTTAACATACAATAATAGTTACATTTATATTTTGAGCTTTCCGAAAAAGGCAACATTTAATAAATTTGTTTATTATTATTTTGCAGTGTATCTCTAGTCAATACATTGGTGCTGCATGCAACCCTGCAGCTAATGCCTTGGCTTATGAGGCAGCGTGTAATGCTGGACCGTATGCATTCTATGGTCCCATGGCTGCCTCTCCTTATGTGGGCGCTGAATGGGCAGCCGGCTACTCACCTGCCTGTCTCCCCGCTTCTAATGGAGGTGGTCTGGCTATCACCAGTGCTTCGCCAATCGCACCCACTGGTGTCTCGATGACATCGGATAATATATACGAAGGTCCTTTGGCTCTATCTGGTACCATTCCGTTCTTAGGAGCCGTAGCATTAGAAGGGGCCCTACCCACAGCTGGCGCAGGCGCCGTCACATACGGATGTGGGAATGGTAATGTCGCTATGCTGAATGAAGACATCACGCCTGCTGGTTACAATACTCTCGCCGGTGCGTACGGCTACGGACCGGGCGTAGCGGCTGAGTTAGGCTACGGATACGGCTCTCCTCTAGCTTATGAAGCTGGTATCGCAGGACCTGGGTATGGTCCCTACAGCTATAGAAGCTGTGGTTGTTGAGCATTTTAGAAGGAAATTTAATTAATATTTTAATCTAAAATACTATTGTTGAAATATTTGAGTAAATAAATATGATATTAAAGAATCTGTATTTAATTTTCATGCTTTGAGTTCAAAAACTGCGTTTTAATTATATTTGTTATTTAGGACTCTAAATCTTTGGTTCGATTTACTTTTTACTTTTCTGGAGCTGACATAAATCTCCTATGTTTGTTGATAGTAAAAAAGGCTGTTGCGTATGGATATTATCAGTTAAACGGATAGCCAATAAATAATATTGGTCCGATAATGGGAAGAACAATATGTAGTAATTATGATTGTTGCTTTTCCACAGATAATAGAATAAACAAAAAAATATTATTCGACCGACTATTATCGGTCTCTTCGTCTCTCGTCTACTCTGACTGTTGTATATAATAATTAAATTACTCAGGACTTACTTCACGTATCGGGGTGAATCAGATTTTATATCATTTATTTTCATAAGGAATAATATAGTGTACTTTCACTTACGTGAGAAATTAAAAATATAAAAAACAAACATTCTAAGTTTTTTTAAAACTTCTGTGTAATTACGATTACTCAGCTAAGATAGAAATATCGCTGTCGAAGTAAAAGGACAATAAATGATGGAATTATCTACACTAAAAAATATAAACATAGCTATCACCATACCAAATTTCATCAAAACTCCTCCAGTGATTTTTCCGTGATGCGGTAACAGACAGACAGACAAAAATTCTAAAAACTATAAATTTGGCCTCTGTATCGAAATAATGTCTATTTTAATAAGATTTTCTAAAAAATATTTAATGTACAGATTCGGCTTAGTTAGAATTTTATTATATGTGTAGATTTAAACCTTTCATCCTATACCTAAAAGAAAAATTCATATTAGTTTTCATACATTAAATAAATTTTCGCATGAACTGCTTATGTTGGTATGTTGGTCAGTTGGTGCTTTTATACTGTTACGTATTTGTTCAAAATATATGTATATATATATATATATATATATATATATATATATATTTGTAATTAGTATTAGTTAGTTAATTATACATATATAATTAGTATTAGTATAATAACTTCAGATAGTTAAATGCTAAAATATTCTTAAAAAAATAAACAATTTATTATGAAAAAAACCATTATAGTAGATACCAGCAGTATAGAAAAAAATCTGAAAACTATACATTTGTAATTAAATCATAAAAAAACACGGTCTTTATGCAAGGAACGGTGGTCCAAATTTTGAATTGAGTTAACCGTGTCATGTGGGGTATCGTATGAAAGAGCTTCATTGGCACAAGTTTAAACAGATTTTTAATTATTTTTATGATGTATAATTTTCGATTTATGAGGTACTACACAAAATTGTTGCACTTTTATGCATACCTACTTATTTTTGCAATTATAAACTTATTTTAATGTTTCACGCTACGGAACCCTCGGCGTGCGAGTCAGATTCGCACTTGTCCGATTTTTGTTGAAAGCAATGCAATTAAATGATATTTCAATTTCTATAGAAAAGGCAATGTAACGTTGTGAAGGATCTACGTTAGTGCTTATACCAAAAATTCATACGATGTTAACAAATAAATGATTTTAAGTTGTTAATGAAGAGTAAATAAAAAAAAATTTATGTATATTGTGTAATCGAAATTCATTTTAAAATATATCTGAAAATAGCATTAAAAATTGAAGTAATAGTATAAAAGATGTTTTAAAAGGCAACAAAATGGAAAGTGCATAATAATTAAAAGACTTCCGCGACACCATTCAGAGAAAGAGAGACAATAGCATTCCCAAGGAGGGTTGACTTCAGGCAGGCGACCGGTCGAAAAACTTTTGCCAAATCCTATCAGCAGTACACAAGATGTACTGCACAAGTCATTGGGAAATAGGCAGAGAGAAGAAGAAGAAGAATGAAGAGTAAATGAAGCGTTCCACCTACTTCACCTATCATCACATATTCTTATGATACCAAACAGCCATATTTTGTAATTAATACAATAATTAAAGAAAAAGAAGGTCAAAAAATAGTTTCAACTGAATTTCTAGATCTATTTAATTACACCTATAAATAGGTTACAGAAAAAGCTGATTGCAAAAAAAACATCAGTAAATTTTTGTTTCATGTCTTTTATTTGTTACTAAAATCGTAACTTAAATCACGTAAATAAAATATTTAACATTGAACATATTTAAATCTATGAGGATTTCTAATAAAGATACCCAGCATTGCATCCACAGCCGCAGCTGCCAGTAATGCACACTGTGCCAGCGGCTGGCAGGTCTCCAGCGAAACGCACAGCTCCGAGGATGGGCACCTGTCCAGCAACCAGCGTGGTGCCAGCGACCGGCATTTCACCCACGACAACAACATCTCCGATACCAGCGCCTCCATATGCTCCTGCAACGTCAATGGCTGCCGGTGACAGACCATAGGGTCCAGGTGCTCCAAGTTCAATAGCGGCAGTTGAAAGTCCAAAGGGAGAAGCTGCTAGACCGGATCCTAAGCCGTAGGGGCCAGCTAAGCCAGCTGCAGCGGCTGGAGATATGCCGGCGTAGTTCAAGCCATAATTGCCACCAAATGGTCCAAATTCTCCAAGACATGAGCCGTATGTATTCTGAAACATTACCATTAGTATCATGACTAGTTGTTTAAATTTGTTTTAATAATATTTAAATCGGATTAACTTCGAGATAGATTTAAGTCTTAATGAACGTCTTACGATACGGAAAAAGTGTTGATTTATCAAAGTGCATTCTCAAATGCAAGTGAAATTAATATGATGATAGAGCCACCCGTAACGACAAGAAATAACTGAAAGCTATAAATGCATTTGGAGACACGGGGATGTCAAATATCTAAAAATTTCCTAGTAAAAAATGTTGAAACCAATAACTCATTTATTCTGACACTCAATGCGAATAACTCGCATCGTCTTGATCCCTATAGATCCGAGAAGATTTTCATAAAAAAGCAATGTTTTATAGCTTTACTATATTTACCTGAATCAAGTACATTTGAATGCACAAAAAGACGAAAGTTAAGGAAGACATGTTTGAACTTGGTGAAGTCTATTGATACCAATGTTCTGACCCAAATAAGTCTCTAATTTATATCACATTGTTCTAAATTACTTGTGTAATATTGATTATACTGACATAATAATAAATTAAGAAACAAGTGACCTAACTCTGTTACAAGCCTAATTGCATAAACATAAACTTACATAATATTTTCACGTATGATCCAATTCTTGACACTTAGTGATAAGGCAAATATTTTTACCTAATATTTTAATATAAAAGTGTATGTAAGCTAGGATCTCGTTACAAATTCGTAGACCTTTCGAATATCAATTACTAAGATGGTGGCAAAAGCTGTCCTTCTGTTCTGTGCTCATGCACTCTTAGTTAAGGTAAATAATTTAACTCAATTATTTAACATACAAAAATAGTTACATTTATATTATTGACTTCGAGAAAAAGGCAACATTTAATAAATTTGTTATATTATTACTTTGCAGTGTATCTCTAGTCAATACATTGGTGGTGCATGCAACCCTGCAGCTAATGCCTTGGCTTATGAGGCAGCGTGTAATGCTGGACCGTATGCATTCTATGGTCCCATGGCTGCCTCTCCTTATGTGGGCGCTGAATGTGCAGTCGGCTACTCACCTGCTTCTCTCGCCGCTTCTAACGGAGGTGGTCTGGCTATCACCAGTGCTTCTCCAATCGCACCCACTGGTGTCTCGATGACATCTGATAATGTATACGAAGGTCGTTTAGCTCTGTCTGGTACCATTCCGTTCTTAGGAGCCGTAGCATTAGAAGGGGCCCTACCCACAGCTGGCGCAGGCGCCGTCACATACGGATGTGGGAATGGTAATGTCGCTATGCTGAGTGAGGACATCGCGCCTGCTGGGTACAATGCACTCGCCGGTGCGTACGGCTACGGACCGGGCGTAGCGGCTGAGTTAGGCTACGGATACGGCTCTCCTCTAGCTTATGAAGCCGGTTTCGCAGGACCTGGATATGGTCCCTACAGCTATAGAAGCTGTGGTTGTGGAGCATTTTAGAAGGAAATTTAACAAATATTTTAATCTAAAATACTATTTTTGAAATATTTGAGTAAATAAATATGATATTAAAGAACCGGTATTTAATTTTCAACCTATGAGTTAAAAAAACTGCGTTTTAAATATATTTGTTATGAATGACTCTAAATCTTTGGTTCGATTTACTTTTTACTTTGCTGGAGCTGACATAAATCTTTTTTGTTTGTTGATAGTAAAAAAGGCTGTTGCGGATTGATTATTCTTTAAACGAATGGTCAATAAGTATTCTACCGATATTAGAATGAGCAAAAACATATTATTCGACCGACTATTATCTTTCTCTTCGTCTCGTCTCTCGTCTACTTTGTCTGTACGATACTATTATTATATCACTCAGGACTTACTTTATATATCGGGATAGATATAGATTTTAGATCATTTATTTTTCATAAGGAATAATATAGTTCACTTTCATTTATGTGAGAAATTAAAAATATATGAAACAAACATTCTAAGTTTTTTCCAAACTTCTGTGTAATTACGACAGACGGACGGACGGACGGACGGACGGATGGACAGATAGACACAATAATTCTAAAAACTATAGATTCGGCCTCTGTATCGAAAATAATGTCTACTTTAATAAGATTTTCCAAAAAAATATATTTAATATACGGATTCGGCTTAGTTAAAATTTTATTATATGTATAGATTTTTAAACTTTCATCCTTTACCTTAAAGAAAAATTCATATTAGTTTTCATACATTAAATAAATTTTCGCATGAACTGCTTATGTCGGTATGTTGGTCGGTTGGTGCGTTTATACTGTTACGTATTTGTTCAAAATAGCGCTCTTGAAGTACGTATGCTTCAGGGGGTTTTTTTGTCAACGTTGGGAAATGCATTTACGCATACAACCTGTAGACATACAGGTGATTATGTGGGACTCACGGGCTCAAAAAGCCACTACTACCCACTAAAACCCAACAAAACCTTCTTCCGTCTTAATGGGGCGTCGCAAGTTCGCTTACGCAGTTAACTAAGACGCCCCGACGGTAGGTCTGCCAAAGCAGACCACAATAACCATGGGGTTGCTCCACAGTCTACTCTACTATTAGTGAAGTACTAGGAGCAACCCGCATGGTACACCACCCACCGAAATGGGCCACCTGCCTGTGTATTTCTCAGCTTCGCGCCCGGCTGCATTGCCGATGCTTAAAGGGTCACGACAACCTGAAATTTAAAAAAAAATCCTTTTTTAGCCTAATAATTTTTTTATTTTTTAAAGAATATTTTAGGGTTTAACTATCTGAATTTATTATAATATATATATATATATATATATATATATATATATATATATATATATATGAAGTTATAGTTATTAGAAGTGAGCGCGTCTGAGTTGGATCGAAACTCAAGTAGCTATTGGATACGAGGGTCCAAATGCAGCTGTGGAACAATTTACTAAGTAATTTTTAAAATAAAATATTTATTTTAGAATAATGTAAATTACAAATAACGTATCACAGATATTATCTTGTCGAGTATTTTGAGCAAATAAATATAATGGAGAAAATTGAACACCTCAAATTTATTTCGTATAATTGTAGTACACTTAATATAAAATTAATACATCCAAATCGGTCCTATCGTTCAGTAGTTAAGAGAGATTATAAAATCGGACATATGTTGGGAATTTCTAGCCTTGTAAATAAAACTATCTTTTCGGATTTTTGAAAAAATCAAAATAAATTCGCGAAAAAATCCGAAAAGAAAGTTTTATTTAAAATTCTAGATTTTTTTACGTGGTGAACCATAGTATGCTAAGTACGGTACAGCTCGATGCAAACTTAATGGTGGCCTGGATATTAGCTGCTGCGAGTGCAGGTAAGTGCAGCGCCTCGTCCCTCTACGCTCCGCTCATACCTTCTGCGCACCTTACCTTTTTAAAGCTTGAATTAAGCTTCATACAATAAAATTGGACAGCTTTATTCCGGATTCGTCCTCGGGCTATTGTGTTTTCTTAAACAAACTTATTAAGTAATGGAATTGGAATAATCAGTAAAATTACCTAAATTTGATTTAATCGATAAAATAAAATTTATTTTATATTTAATATAACATGTTATATGTCACAAGTTGATTATTAGGGTTTCGTACTTGAAAAGAAAAAAAAAACAGAGCCCTTATAGGATCACTTTGTTGTCCGTCTGTCCGTCTGTCCGTCCGTCCGTCCGTCCGTCTATCTGTCTGTCAAGACCCTTTATCTCGGGAACGCGTGGAAGTATCGAGTTGAAATTAAAATGACATACTCAGGTGTACAGTCTCTTGAAGCTGTAAAATTATCAAACTTCTAAGCTAACGAAAAAAAAAGATACGGCGTTTATGCCGCAAAAAACGTATATTTCGACACTCTCAAGGGAAGCAGAATTTATAGGACCGTTGATCTAGAACTATCAAATTTGGCAAGTAATACCATCTTATACCACAAGTACAGAGAAAAATCTGAAAACTATACATTTGTAATTAAATCATTAAAAAAAAACACGGTCTTTATGCAATGAACGGTGATCCCAATTTTGAATTGAGTTAACCGTGTCATGTGGGGTATCGTATGAAAGAGCTTCATTGGCACAAGTTTAAACAGATTTTTAATTATTTTTATGATGTATAATTTTCGATTTATGAGGTACTACACAAAATTGTTTGCACTTTTATGCATACCTACTTATTTTTGCAATTATAAACTTATTTTAATGTTTCACGCTACGGAACCCTCGGCGTGCGAGTCAGATTCGCACTTGTCCGATTTTTGTTGAAAGCAATGCAATTAAATGATATTTCAATTTCTATAGAAAAGGCAATGTAACGTTGTGAAGGATCTACGTTAGTGCTTATACCAAAAATTCATACGATGTTAACAAATAAATGATTTTAAGTTGTTAATGAAGAGTAAATGAAAAAAATATATGTATATTGTGTAATCGAAATTCATTTTAAAATATATCTGAAAATAACATAAAAAATTGAAGTAATAGTATAAAAGATGTTTTAAAAGGCAACAAAATGGAAAGTGCATAATAATTACAAGACTTCCGCGACACCATTCAGAGAAAGAGAGACAATAGCATTCCCAAGGAGGGTTGACTTCAGGCAGGCGACCGGTCGAAAAACTTTTGCCAGATCCTATCAGCAGTACACAAGATGTACTGCACAAGTCATTGGGAAATAGGCAGAGAGAGGAAGAAGAAGAATAAAGAGTAAATGAAGCGTTCCATCTACTTCACCTATCATCACATTTTCTTATGATACCAAACAGCGATATTTTGTAATTAATATAATAATTAAAGAAAAAGAAGTTCAAAAAGTAGTTTCAACTGAATTTCTAGATCTATTTAATTACACCTATAAATTGGTTACAAAAAAAGCTGATTGCAAAAAAAACATCAGTAAATTTTTGTTTCATGTCTTTTATTTGTTACTAAAATCGTAACTTAAATCATGTAAATAAAATATTTAACATTGAACATATTTAAATCTATGAGGATTTCTAATAAAGATACCCAGCATTGCACCCACAGCCGCAGCTGCCAGTAATGCACACTGTGCCAGCGGCTGGCAGGTCTCCAGCGAAACGCACAGCTCCGAGGATGGGCACCTGTCCAGCAACCAGCGTGGTGCCAGCGACCGGCATTTCACCCACGACAACAACATCTCCGATACCAGCGCCTCCATATGCTCCTGCAACGTCAATGGCTGCAGGTGACAGACCATAGGGTCCAGGTGCTCCAAGTTCAATAGCGGCAGTTGAAAGTCCAAAGGGAGAAGCTGCCAGACCGGCTCCTAAGCCGTAGGGGCCAGCTAAGCCAGCTGCAGCGGCTGGAGATATGCCGGCGTAGTTCAAGCCATAATTGCCACCAAATGGTCCAAATTCTCCAAGACATGAGCCGTATGTATTCTGAAACATTACCATTAGTATCATGACTAGTTGTTTAAATTTGTTTTAATAATATTTAAATCGGATTAACTTCGAGATAGATTTAAGTCTTAATGAACGTCTTACGATACGGAAAAAGTGTTGATTTATCAAAGTGAATTATCAAATGCAAGTGAAATTAATATGATGATAGAGCCACCCGTAACGACAAGAAATAACTGAAAGCTATAAATGCATTTGGAGACACGGAGATGTCAAATATCTAAAAATTTCCTATTAAAAAATGTTAAAACCAATAACTCATTTATTCTGACACTCAATGCGAATAACTCGCATCATCTTGATCCCTATAGATCCGAGAAGATTTTCATAAAAAAGCAATGTTTTATAGCTTTACTATATTTACCTGAATCAAGTACATTTGAATGCACAAAAAGACGAAAGTTAAGGAAGACATGTTTGAACTTGGTGAAGTCTATTGATACCAATGTTCTGACCCAAATAAGTCTCTAATTTATATCACATTGTTCTAAATTACTTGTGTAATATTCATTATACTGACATAATAATAAATTAAGAAACAAGTGACCTAACTTTGTTACAAGCCTAATTGCATAAACATAAACTTACATAATATTTTCACGTATGATCCAATTCTTGACACTTAGTGATAAGGCAAATATTTTTACCTAATATTTTAATATAAAAGTGTATGTAAGCTAGGATCTCGTTACAAATTCGTAGACCTTTCGAATATCAATTACTAAGATGGTGGCAAAAGCTGTCCTTCTGTTCTGTGCTCATGCACTCTTAGTTAAGGTAAATAATTTAACTCAATTATTTAACATACAAAAATAGTTACATTTATATTATTGACTTCGAGAAAAAGGCAACATTTAATAAATTTGTTATATTATTACTTTGCAGTGTATCTCTAGTCAATACATTGGTGGTGCATGCAACCCTGCAGCTAATGCCTTGGCTTATGAGGCAGCGTGTAATGCTGGACCGTATGCATTCTATGGTCCCATGGCTGCCTCTCCTTATGTGGGCGCTGAATGTGCAGTCGGCTACTCA